TTTCATCATAAGAAACTTGGCTAAACCTTCCATTTTTAACCATTGTGTCCAGCTGCCCAAATCTCACTCAAGTAAATACATCCCTAAGGTTCTTGAGCATTTCTGTATTTAATACTTAGTAATTTGGAAGATGTGTTTAAAGTAGCTAATCCATTTCAATGTGCTAGCTTACTGAGGATAGCAGTATCTTTCGGAGTATCTATAGTATATCCAAAATTCTTTGTGCAGAAATCTTTTCTCTTGTCTCCCAGAAAAAGTCAGGCAAGAAAGAGAGAGGCAATATATTCTTGATTTGTCAGTTGTGCAATCCAAAAGGTCCCAATTGAGATTTTGCCTATTCTATTAGATACAATTTTTGAGGTCTTCAGTTTCATAGCTTTGATTTGCACCAATAATTGGATAGCCTGATTTTAGACAAAGAACAAATTGTTTAAATTCCTAATTCAAGTCTAAACTCTGCAGGTGAGGTTCTTTTATCCACACCCGGCTACTCAGAATACACTAGCATCACTACTCAGATGCTATGATTGTGTTTGTTCTAGTAATGGCATGGGTTGTAAATCCCAAACTTCATCTCCATATAAAAGTAGTGTGGTAGTGTTGATTCTGCATGCATAGAATCTGAATCAAATGCTTTGTAATTTTTAATATTGAATTTCTACCTGCCCTTCTCTGGGTGAACTCCTTCAATGATGAGGGAATCAAGATCCAGTCTCATATAAGACTACATATAAATAAGGAAAGGTGTTGGCTTGCTCAGTTGACTCACCATTTAATAGCCATCTATGGCTGAGATGGTGTTTTTAAAAACCATGATCTTTATTTTGATGTATTAATAATCAAAGAATTATTAGGGCAGTAGTAGCCAAGTCTTAACAATCTGTGCAACCCAAAATAGAATAGTAAAAATCATATTGTCAACATATAGCAACTTATGTCGAGTACCTTAGTCATGTGTAGTACAGAATCGTTCATCAGTCGTGGTAAGTCATTAACATATAGAGTGTATAGCAATGGTGCAACTATGCACCTTTGTCTTACTCCTTTGTAAGTAAGACAGTCAATCCTCCTTGTCATGACTTCTTTAGCCCTAAACCACACCCTGAAGCAGTTTACAATATATTCTTTACAGTATTTGTATAAAGGATTTTGGTCAGTGCAAGATGGCTGTGTTCTGTATTGAGGACAATTAATTTCAATTTCCTCTGTAATATTTTTCTATTTACTCAAATGCTGCACTAAGGTTTATGAAGGCAGCAATCAGCTGTGTCCCCTTACTGACATATTTGGTATTTAGATGGTTCAAGACAAAGCAATAGTGGATTGAACATGCCTGAAGCCAGCTTGTTCTTCTGCAAGAATGCACAGTATTTGTCAGCTACCCAACTCTCAACTCTCCTCAAGAGGAAGCTGGCATATATTTTAGCCATAATATCTATTAGATGCATGAGCCTCTAATTGCTAGAATCCTTTTTAGGAACTACAACTGTCATCTTCCCCCTGACTGTGATATGGAGATACTATTTATATGTATAAATAAACCCACCAAGAGAGGGGCTCGTGGTTGGGTATTTTTTGAATAACTTGGCTGGTAGAAAGCCCTCAACAGGGCTTTATTTATTGCTCTTCATGCTTTTTGTAATAGATTTAATCTTGTTTTTCTAATACTGGTGGTCAGAGGGGTATAGTTTCAGTAGGTGGTAAATTGCTATTTAGTAACTGTTTCTCAACAGGTTCCAGAGAGCAAACAGGTGATGATAATAATTTTCCCAATCCTCGGCTGTGATTGGTATATTGAATGTGAATCTCCATTCTTTCAGGATCCCAGCTACAGAGTGCCAAAATATAGCTGAATTATGACTTCTTGCTGACAGCTCATGTCCTGACCAATTTGAAGCAGCATGGCTTTTTCCCCCTGTGATTTAAAGAGCTTTTTGTATCCTCTTCTTAAAGACAGCATCCTAGCCTTATATATAAAATAATGCCTCTGAGCAAATCTCATAACTGTGTCTTCAATTGCTTTTTCATCAAATGACATTCATTGTCAAACCTGGGAAACTTTTGGAGGAGGGTTTGGATAATAGATCTTTTTCTCAACATGTGGCACAAATTTATGAATGCATAGAAGACTGACTGTGGACTGCTAAGACCCAACTGATAGCATTCTCTGATTTGAGACTATACAGCATTACTTTGGTAGACATACTTTGGACCATATTAACTGTTTTATTTTATTCTGACTCATCTCTCAATTAGTTATAAACCATGTTATATGAGTTTAAGTCCAAACAGACTAGGAAGTTCCCACTCACTGGCTGGTGATCACTCTCTCTTGGATAGATAATGACCTCTGAGAACGTCAGCTTTACTTTTTGATACACAAATTAAATCTAACCTGTTTGAGTGTAAGGTCGATGGATGGGTATACAGAATCATTATCCTTGCCTCCCAGAATTAGAAGATCACATTTAAAAATCAGCAATGTCAAGTTTAGACCATTATCTTTTGAATGCCAATGATGATTATCAAAAAAAATTATTTGGGAATTCACTATATTGACTGTAATCATATCATGTAATAAAGGGATGTATTTGGTGGAATATAAACATTTACCAGTACAAGCTCAACATTTTTATATCTGAATTTCATGGCCAATATATGAAGAAAGTTATTCCTATTATATGATTTCTCACCCTGCCATTGCAATTCTTCCTTAGTAAGAATACATAATCCCCTCAAAGCTCTCCCTTTGTACTTTAATTTTTGGGCAACATTGAAAATCTGGGAGTTGTGATGGGTCACTCTCTCCTGCCAAACAGGAGTCTTGTAAAGCTATTTTATCAAATTCAGAAAAGAATCTCACCAAATCAATTAGTATTCTATACTAGAAACTATTCTAGAATTGTTTCAAATTCAATTCAATTTTATTTTGAGCTCAGAAATTAGGAATTTCATTTTGGACACCTTTCTGAAATGATAGGGACACAATTGGGACACTTCCAGGTAGAACATGTATGTGGAATTCACTCTTATACTTGGCATAATTCTAACCTTTTTTTAAAAGCGACCAATTAAACTCTGTAGGTATTCATACATCTAATGACACCAAGGACACATTCTAGGTGGAATTCAGATGGCAAAATACAGTATATGTTAGCTAAATATTTCCCCCTTCAATATCTTTAAGTCCAGTTGAGAAAAGTAATGCAAAATAGCTAAACAGAATTTCCAGAATCTGAAGCATTATACTTCAGAAGTGAGTAACTGGATATAAAGGCTTTCTGGGAGAAGATGTCTAGTTACCACTGAAGAGAAAGCATTATACAATACTGATCCTTGATTTGAATGGGAAGCAGGAGCCTTCCAATCTTAGACAAGTAAACAGTTCTCTAGCATATGGTGAATTAAAAATGATTAGTATATTTAGCTTAGCTCTGTGATATCATGGGCATTATTTTACCTGGATTGAATGTTAGTAATTCTTTTTGGTGAGTTCTTGTAAGCATGTGATTATGTCATCAATATCTATCTACCCAGCTTCTCTTGGACTTTAATTCTAAGAAACTGAGAATATTTCTTAATAATCAGTGCAACTTCTCCTCCTTTTCCATTGTTCATGTTCTTTTAAAGAAATTCTATCTTTTCATTGCTGTATTTCACTTATAGATTTCTTATTAGGTCTCAGTTAATAGATACAACCATAATCTTATTAGAATATAGAAAGTGAAAATAATGAAATTTATGAGTAATGATCTTTCTGAATTTTTTAATTTAACTACTCTCTCACATCCTCATACTGGGCACAAATCATTTGTCATGTCATTTTTTTTATTGTAGGAAAAGAAAGGTAGAATACTAATAAACCAATAAAAGAAGTCCTTACATTAAGTCCTTCTGAATAGCAATCTCCAACTAGCACAAAATTCAGCTGAAACATTTTTAATCAAGAAGAAATTTCTTATCACAGTTTAGCCAGCAGTGAAATGGCCTCATGGAATGGAATTTGAGTTAGAAGTTGGTTGAGAATCATTTTGTATGGCTTGCATTAATAGCCAGAAAACTGTTTGTCTGGAACTGCAGTTGATTTATTTATTTAGAATCGATTGGTTGAATTGGTTATTAATTCTATTTTTCTATTCATATTGAATATTTAAGGAGCAACTAAAACACAATATTCAAAATTTAAAACAAATATTAACATTATAATAGGAAAATATTTAAGTAAGGTTTATTTTCATTTCCAAATTTATTCTCTGTTTTTTTTCCCTGTATTTATACATTTCTACTGCAATAGACTTTGGCTAAATGCAAATAAATATTGACTTAACAATTAATAGAATATAGGGGTTTTTCATGTAAATTGATTAAAAATGTAAATTATAAAAATACCTGCGTTTTAGTGGCTATATTACAAATAATAATTTGCTAAGAAATTAAATGGAATAGAGTTGGCAAGAAACATAAGTGACCCTGAGGCAATAGACTTTGGCTAAATGCAAATAAATATATTATATTTCTTCTGATCAATGTAGCCATTGATAGGCTACATATTGTTCTATTCTACTTCATATTGAAGAGGTTTTAAATGGACTTGCTCTGCTTTATGTTTTCTCATGCTCTTAAGTTTGCTGGTTTATATTTTAAAGTTTAAAAAATTCAATCATCTTGTACTAATCTATGTTGAAAGGTGATTGAATGAACCATAAATGCAAAGATGTAGAGCATATTGGCAGAGGAAAATGGAAATTTCTGAATTAGATAGATAAACTTTCCTTTTGTACCTCCAAAATACTTAATTTTATTTCTTATTACTCCTTGAAAAGTCTGGATTTTTAATTGAACACCTTCATAGCAAATACTATATATTTTAAAATATGACAGTAGCAGCCCTAATAGATATCCAGAAACAATTATAGTTGAATCAATTTCCCAATACAAAATCATTTTCAAAATTGAAGAATGGATTTCCTGCTAATAAATATCACAATTTAATTTGTTAGGTACGTAAAGAATATGGGAAATGCCTGCGTACACATTGTTGTAGTGGGAAAAGTACAGAGAACTCCATCGGCTCAGGAAAAACTTCTGGGTCACGAACTCCTGGACGGTACTCCACAGGATCACAGGTAAAAAGTATTTCTTAAGTTGAACAATTTGTTACCTTGCCCAAATAATTAACTTTTCAGTCATAATTATTAGAGTTCTTTTCAGCTCAGTTTCTATAGCAGTTTGCTTATATAGTATCTACACAGTAGGAAAATGGGTTGACTGGGATTTATAAAATATAAGATTTTCACTGCATGTCAGATTCTGCCCCAAATTTCTGTGTTTTGAGAGAAAAAATTTATTTAGCTGTTGTTATTAATTGCATCCCATTGTTACTTTTTAAAAAACGTGTTCAACATGGCTAACAGGAAAAAAAATAGAAAATATTACAAAAATACAGTCTTAAAAGTATTGTCATCCTGACTTGTTCAGAACTTTGAAAAGCTCAAAATGAAAAGTTCATTTTGGCCAGGGGTCCCATTTTTTGTCATGCATGCCTAGGCACAGATCCTTCATTTCTCTTTGAGGGCAACATTATAGCACTTTTGATAATATGCAATTATCTTTTTTCCTATGTAATTTATTTCTAGAAATATTAACAAATCCTTGGAAGGAGATGTGGACAGGAATAAGCAATATACAGTTAACAATGAGTCCCTGTAACTGGTTTTCCCTTAGTCTTGGTACTCTGATCTTGAGGGTCATAAGCTTTTCCTTCATGTGATTGCAGAGTTGTCTTTTGTGTCTTGGGGAAGACTTGATGGGTATCTATATATGTTTTAGGCATTTAGTTAAAAGAAGCTTACTGCAATTGCGCATCACAACTACAAGCAAATCATTGGATGTAAATCATGAAAGCCACAGAGGTACAGAAAGCCCTCCATTAATGCTCTGGCACTTAAAACTTTCATGATGTCTCCAAAATCCTCTGGAAATTATCATGCTTTGCCTCGTGCTTGTTCAATGTCAACCACTCAAAGTCACTAGCATTCAAGCAATAGAATGAGTGAGTGAGTGAGTGAGTGAGTGAGTGAGTGAGTGAATGAGTGAGTGAGTGAGATTGGTGTGACTTTGGGTTCTTCCGCATAAATTGTTAACCAGCAATGCTTCAGCAGTATTATTGAGAGGCTTGAACAGATCACATCAGCTTCACTTTGCCCTGTTCCAGCATGCATGGCAGCTTGCAGTTGAGCTTCCTTGTCTCATCTGCTCCATGTGTGATATTTTCCAACTTATACTTGCACTTAATTTTATTAAGGCAATGTCTGTCTTCCTATTGGTCACTCTGTGGAGCTACTGGTACATATATATCTTTCTGTTCACTGGTCGCAGTTTCTACAAACATTCTGTATACAATGAGAAGGACAAGCCCCTATAAATCCTGACTGGTTCACCATTTCCTATTTGCATGTACAACAGGTATATCAATGGTTAAGCCAAGTGAGAGATGATCAGAAAGGACTGGATTTTTCACACACATACAATGCACCCTACAGTAAAAAGAAGACAGGCTAAAAAATGTGTAAATATACCAAATTTGGGTAGAGATTCTTGGAAACAGGCGACCCCTTGGGTAACCCGGTCCCAAACCATGTAGGGCTTTAAAGGTGACAACCAGCACCTTAAATTGCACCCAGGAACATACCAGTAACCAATGCAGCTCATGCACAAGTGGTGTTATATGTGTGTTGCATATCTGGCACTTTTTATTACCCATGCAGCCACATTCTGCATCAGTTGAAGCTTTTGAATCTTCTTCAGGGGCAGCCCCATGCAGAGCACATTTGCAGTACCTAAATGAGAGGTTATAAGGGCTTGAGTTACTATGAACAGGGCCTCTAGGTCTGAGAATAAATGCAACTGACACACCATGTGAAGGTATACAAAGTCTCTCCTAGCCATGGCTACCAACTGCAGGAGCCATGAGTCTAGGAGGAGCCCTGGATTGTGCACAGGGTCTAACCCCATCTGCAACTAAAGATGGAAAATCATTGTCTCCACAGGGTCCAAGAACCCATAGCAACTCTGCTTTGCTAGGGTTGAGTTGGAGCTTGTTTCGTCCAGTCCCCCAAATATGCCACTGTTATAGAAAGATGGGATATTTAATTTATTTTCTTTTTTGGGGGGAAGGGATTTGTTTATAAATATAAAACGGAGAAGATGAGCACTGAATGGCTGTGATGGGCAGGAATGAAACTTTATCAACTGCTACCAGATCTGGTCAGATTAGCCATAATAAAATGTTTCTAGTACCTTGCTGAGCGAAATGGTATGAACAGCCCTGCTTTATTCTAATTTTGAAATAAAGAGAAAAACGGAAAATGGAACAGTCTGTCATCTGGAAATGTCCATAATTATCTGGATGAACAGTTTTAGAGAAAAGGGAAAAAATTGTTGTAAATAAAAAAGATCCTCTCTCTCTCTCTCTCTCTCCCTCCCTCCCTCCCTCCCTCTCTCCCTCTCTCTCCCTCCCTCTCCCTCTCTCTCTTCCCCCCCTTCTTCCTTTTTTGCTGTTTCTGCTTGGACACTTGAATGAGCTGCCTTCCCACAACCCAATGTTTTATTCTATAGCCCAACTTCCAATGCTGTAGCCCCTTTTTTGTAGTAGACCCATCAAGTTACTCACAATTCCCTTTCAGTGCCTTTCAGGGTGCTGATTTCAGATTCTTCTCCATTATTCTCTCAATTTGCTTTACAATAAATATCATGAAACAGTTCAGCCTTCTCTATGTTCCTTTCAAAGGAGACATGTTCCTCATTTCTTTCTTTCCTCCTATTATTATCAACAGCTGCCTCAGACTTAACTTGCCCATTTCCTATATAATGCGCTTCCAAAAAAGACTAAAATAGTGACACTACATTTTTTTAAAAAAAAGACAAAACACTGGTGCAGTTTCCTATTTTGAGCTTGTCCTTTAAAGGGGGCTCTGCTACATCAGAATAGGTTGTATTGTTGGGAAGGAAATGAGATAAACAAAAAAAGAAAACTGAAGCCCTGAAGAGCTAGGAGAGAACAGAAGCAGCAATGAAAGGGAGAGAGTGACACCAGAATGGCAGCAGTGGTCCAGAGACATCAGAGGACCCAAGCTTTTAACAGAAGTTCAGTCACTGGTAGCATGCCAGAAAACAGCTCACAGTGCTGACATTGAAGAGCAACCCAAAGACTAGTTGCTCCTTTGAGATTTCAAGAACGTATCTAAGGGTACAGCTTCAGGCCACAGCAGTTATAAGCAGCAGAAGAGAGCCTATGAAAAAAAAACCCAAATCCTTGAGGACCCAGATTGTGGGGGCAATAAGCCAACTTTGTATAGAACAACACCGCTTGGGGAGGGGGGCGAAAGCCCTAATAAGCAGGCATATACAAAAAAGTATGCAGGCTATTGCTATAATGCACTGTAAGCCGCTCTGAGTCTACGGAGAAAGGCGGCATATAAATTGGACTAATAAATTGGACTAATAAATAAATCCTATCTGACTGCAGGACCAAGTGCTAGATAGCTCGTTCTACCTCGTCCACACCATGTGACCTTGAAGCAGGTTTTCACTGTGAAAAAATATACTTTGCAATAAGTATAGCACAGAAAGCATAGCATAAAATATAAGTTATTGGTTAAGAGATAAAATAGGATCTTGGATTATAAGTGATAAGACTAGTGGCATAGGGATAGAATACATGAGTAGGTTAAACAACTTTAGGAGGAATGTTTAAGAACAAACAAGATTAAACACTCAGTTGTATAAAACTTTTTATAATAAAAAGCGTGCTTATAGGAATTGCCTTCTTCCCTGCCTGACTGTGTCCCCATCCCCAAATTGGACCTATAACTCTTACCTTCTGCTATTTTAGCAAGTATTTGTCTGCCACTTTCTTTTTGGCTTGGTCTTCTCTTCTCCTGCAAACAGGGGCTCTTCCTTATAATCTTCCTATTGCAGAAAGGGGAAGAAGGGTACACTGAAACTCTGGTCAGACTTTCACCACAAGAATCTCGGTACAGAGAGCTGAGAAATGCTTCATGCTAGCTTTTTTACAGATGGACTTGGTGGTTAACTTGGGCACCACACCAGAGACTCATCTCTCCCGGCATTGATCGTTCAACATTTAGTTTTTAGTTGGTAAATACAGGAACAGATTCAAGAATGAGGGCGGGAAGGGGGGGCGTTGCAAACTTACTTTTGCATTAAAATGCATAAGGAATTTTCTTCTTTACCTTTACTTAGGAAACAGCACATGGGCGTGTGTGTGTGATAAAACACACTGCAACAAAGCAACACAAATTACGTGCATGCACTTGATGTCATGACACAGGTGTTAAAGGGCAGTATTGTGTCACAGTACTATGTCAGAATGCACATTTTGTTGCTTTGGCATTGAATGGACTTCTGTGAAATAGTATCACATAATGCTGGTTCTCCACTGATCAGTAGAAGATTTCTGAACGAGGTTTAAAGTGTTGGTTGGAACACACATGAAATCCTAACAGCTCAGGATACTTTGAAGGGCATTGCTTTCACATGGTTCTCACTAGTTAAAGATTATTGATCTGCTGGCTGTCCAGTCAATGCCCTGAATACCTTGGAGAAGATGCTTTCAGTGGCCCTAAGGAAAACCAAAGCTGCCTTCCAGTCAGGTTCAACTCTGGCAATGATAGGAAAGGTTTATAAAGTACCAATATTGATATTCTTCAAGCATCATTCTTTTTCTTTTAAATTTTCCAAAGCCTTTATCTAAGTAATTTGCACTCCTGCAAATATGATTGGTTTTGTAATGTTTCTTAGCCAGATTGTTTGTTAATCTGAATTAATTGTTCATTAGTTAAATGGCAGTTCCTTATTGTTAAAATACAGAGCAACCAATAATAATAAATATATAAAAAGCAAATGTTCTTTTTAAAAATTCTAAGAACAGATAAAATAGTCAAAACGTGCTAATGTTATTCATATCCTTAACATGATTTAGAAGTCATTAGTATCTTGTGAAAGGATTTTTGACCCAGAATTTCACAAGTAGAAGTGTGGGGTTCATGCTGAGTGATATGCAGCAAAATGAGAAGAACTTAACCAGAATTTGCAGGCTAAAATGGTTACTTTTGGAACCTCATCTTTGCCATTTCAGTTTGCAGATTTGGAAGGTTAGACAAAGTCATCTAGATCCCTGTATATAAAAAAATTATGTGTCAAATATTACCGGTCCACAGGTGTTCTTTGTGTTCCTTGCTTCAGTTTTGACAAATCTTTATAAAATTTAAAATATATATATATCTTGAAGTATGCTTGTGAGAGAAGGAGGCTCATGTAGGGTATGAATGAATCTTAACATGGTTTTTCTAGATCACTTCAAGCATATAGCTGAGAAGTATTGAGAATTTTTAAGCCCAGGCATCTGTCAAGAAGAAGGAACCTCTGTTATTTTATTTATTGCATGCTATTTTTTAACATAACATCAGAACTGTTTCACAACTTTCCAGGTTTCTGTAGCACTGAATAACTAATTTTCTTAGTTTGGTTTGAAATTTCTGCAGGGGAAAAATGACCTTTGTGTTGTAGTACAATAGCAACATTTTACCTCTAGATAATAATTGACATTTGTTTCCTGCACAGATTAATGAAATGGTTTGTAACAGTTACAGCATGCAGGTTTATTATACACCTATTTGTGTAATTGGCACTTTATGGTCCAGAAGCTCAAGGCAATGTACATGATATCTCATCCCACCTCTTTTTCTGCAACATCCCTGTTAGGTAGATTGAGTTGAGATATATAGAGAGATAAATGATAGGTTGGTTAGTTAGTTAGTTGGTTAGTTGGTTAGTTAGTTAGGCAGGCAGGTAGACAGGCAGACATATGACAGATTTGAATCAATTTTTTACCTTGTAATAACCCTTCATTTCTACACTCTTGAATGCCTGAAATTATATTACTATTGATTCCTAATAAAAAAGACACCAAAAAATCTCTATATGTAGAGATTATAATTATTAACATTATTTCTATATTTTATTCCCGCAAAACTATTATTTAATAAATAAATAAATAATCACTTCTTACATTGATAATTTACTAAACTGTATATTATAATAATAATAAATACAGCAGCAGTCATGTACATGAACAATATTTTTTAAACTTGTTTTGCTACTCTCCACATCTCAGAATGAAAGCCAGTTACCGTAATTAAAACCAAAATTAAAAATATTCAATTAAAAGCCTGTTTTAAAAAGTATGTTTTAAAAATCAGTGAGCCAACAAAGAGCTATTGGTATCTGTAGGGGGAGGGCCAGGAAAGGACATAATGAAACATGCATCATAATCAAACTCTCCCCTTACATACTTACATATGCTGTGCAGAATTCTGAATATGAACATATGCTATGACACCACATTGCAGTTTTCATCATTTTGATGTCATCACAATGAGAAACAATAGAGAAATTTCCATAGAAATGGAAGTTGCATTAAATCTACTAAATTGGAAAATTGGCTCATAAACTGGTGGATTTCCAATTGATTGGTTCAAAAAAAAATTATTTTATTTTATTTTATTGCAGGGTGATAATAATGCATCTTTAAGTAAATGTCACCTTTTTTAAAAAAATAGTTCTTCTATAAGTCTATCCAGTTCTAATTCTCGTTCCTTGATAAATGTGGATGCTGAAATATTGACAGAGAGATCTATCAATATTGGCTATTATCAGCTATTATAGTTATAGATTATGAGTGCACTCATTTCAGATGGGTTTTGGCCAGATAGTACTATGGAGACAGCATTAGTTGTCCTTCTTGATAACGTGGGTTGTGAATCCTTTCTTTGTGACTGGCTTGAAGTTTGGTAATATCACTATGATAAACAATTATGCATCTTGGGCTGAGACCATCCAAGTAAGACTGTCAAGGTCTTGTCCCAAATTTTGAAAGCTATCCAGGTCTGGATGTGGGAGAAGCAAAGTGAGGCTCAATCCTAACAAGAATGAATGACTGCAAATATTTGGGCCCTGGATCTTGGAATCTTCCATTTTTTATCGTGGATGGGTTGTATTTGCTCATCCAAGCATGGATGAGAGTTCTGTTTGTTTGTTTGTTTGTTTGTTTGTTTGTTTGTTTGTTTGTTTTCCATAGCCTCCCAGCTCAACCAAGTGACATACTCACAATTCATAGTTACCAAACAGATAGCAGTAAAAGCCAAGAGGGCCTTTATGCACATACTTCTTATGTAGCAGTTGTGCCCTTTCCTGGCCTGAGAGATCCTTCACATCTAATGAAAGGATTGCTGTAATGCACTTTACATGCAGGCCACCTTTGAAGATTAGTTGAAAGCTACAGTTAGCCAGAATGCAACCACACAGGCAATGATGGCAGGTTTCATTATGCCACTGTCAACCCATTGCTCCACAAAATAAACTGATTATCAATTGGCAGTGCAATCCAAAGTGTTAGTTATCACCTGTAGAGCCCTTCCTGGCTTAAGACCAGGTTATTTGAAGGACAGTGTGCCTCCAGTTGTTTCTGTCTGTCCAATGAGATCTGGCAGAGTGGACATGTTTTGTTGTGCTGACACCTGTCTTCTGGAATATCTCTCCATCTCTCTCTCTCTCTCTCTCTCTCTCTCTCTCTCCCTCCCTCTCTCTCTCTCTCTCTCTCTCTCTCTCTCTCTCTCTCTCTCTCTCACGCACACACACACACACACACACAGAGAGAGAGATCCAGATGACCCAACTCTGAAAACTTTCAGGAAGCTATTAATAACTTGGCTGCTCTCCCAGGCTTTGGAGCAGGATGGTGGTTGAACCACTTTCAGGTGGGGGTGCTTGTCTGCAGGCTACTTGTGATTTCTTTGTGAAATGTTTTTCTTTTTCTTTTTTAAGGACATATTTTTAAGTAAATATCATTACTTTAGAGGAAAGCTGAAATTTAAATTTAAAATTAAATTAAATTTAAATTAAATTCAGGTTTCTCACCTTTGTTTGAAGGGTGGCATAAAGAGTGCCAAAATTAAGTTGTGTGTTGGGTACAGTTTGAGAATTATTATTTTATTTTACTGAAATTGTTTACTTTACATGTATGTATGCATTGTGTTTCATTAACAGAATTTAGTGCCAAAAAAGGTATATGGAAAATGCTGAGACTCATTGCAAATGAAATGTAACTAGTGAAAAATATAATCCAAATTACTGCATTTGTCTCAGAATATTTTAGACATAAAGCATCAGACATGTTGTATTTCTTCTATTCGTTACATTTCTAGACTTGGGAATAGAACGTACATTTCAATTTATATATCAATTTATGAAACAATTATCCTACATTCATAAGCAGTTCTCTCAAATACTTGCATTCAACAATATCACTTCCCTAGTGACAGTCTGAACACTGGAGAGGTAGAATGAGTATTACGTTTTCATTACATTAACAGTGGGAAACTCTTTTGTTTTTATTTACTTACTGATTTTTATTCAGGAGCTCAAGACACCATAAATAGCATATCTCCTCCTCTTATCTTTCCCCACAACAATGACTTGTGTGGTTGGACTAAGAGAGAAAGGCCAACATTAACTCAGCCAGGAATTCTCTGTGGCTAAGGGTAAACTAAAGGCAACATTTTAACTAGTTTACTGTACTGGCACTTGTACTGCTTGAAAGTTTCCAATGTGGAAAAAAAATACTGGGTTAGTTGGATTTATTCACATTTTAGCATACTTTTGGGCAACTTTCTGACTTGAAGTCCACTTTATTACTTTTTACCTTGTTTAAGGGACAAAAAAGAAGGGTTCATGATATTGTGTTGTTATTAGAGTGAGGGGGCTGAAACAATAAACTTCTTTTGCATTTTTGGTGAATTCTAAGTGGAAATTGTCTTGAACTTTAACATACATGTTTTACCCCATAACACTCTTGAATAGGAACAAGTGACCCCCTTGTTCCAGGGTAGAAGGTGTTAGGTGGTCTTAAAAGTGCATGAGCTTCTGAAAGGTTTGGTGCACTTGGTTTCCCTAAGTCAGAAAAAAAGTCCAAGACTTTCAACTTGACCCACTCTGGGTGTCTCTGGAGGGCATACATATAAGCTGCATATTGTCCACCCTTGTTCTAGGAAATGCAGGGAGCTCTTTGCCCAGAGAGAACCATTTCAGAGAGAAAATCAAAACACCTTGCTTACTTCCTGCACTGCCAGAAGCCATCTCCACAGAAACAGAAAGAAGCAGGTCATTGTTTCCTATGGATCCTCTGCTTGATGTTCATCTTCTGCCCCTTCTTCTTGTGCTTCTGCAGAGCCGAATTCGCAGGATGTGGAATGACACTGTTCGAAAGCAATCAGAATCCTCCTTCATCACTGGTGATATAAACAGTTCAGCATCACTTAACAGAGGTAATTATGGACTTTTCAAATACATATGACCTTTGTAATTATGAAGAATCTAAACAGCAATGCTTTGTTAACCTTGCAACATGTAGCATCTTGTTCCCTTGAATTAAAATGTTACCACAGAATAAAAGATCCATTGTGCACTGTATTTCATTAATAGAAAATACTTCTTTTAACTTTCTCTCAGTTCTTTAACATGGATATTAAATGTTGTTGACAGTCAGTTGCAGAAGGAGTAGCGGCAGTGAGGCAGAATAGTTTTGAGGTCAGACAGATAAAAGTATCTGTCTTCTTAATGTTACTGCTATTGCCAAGACAAATATTGTTGAGCTTAACTGCCATCCATGAAAGGTATTGGTGCATCCTGCTAAACACGGAAGTGCAAGAGAAGGTTTCATAATGGGAAAACTTGCTGCATAATGTGGAGTTATGCCATTTTCCCAGCATAGCCTTCCTGGGGTCTTCAGAAGTCAGGGGGAAAATCCATGTTAATATCATCTACATGTAGTAATGTAATGAAGATGTTTTCAGCCAGCCTCAACATTGGATCTAAAATTAAAGTTTTCCAAAATCAAAAAACCAATGTTCCGAACTCCATTAAAAGATGTGCCAGAATTCTGAGCATAGGAAAAACATTCCTCTCAGGGAATGTTCTCCCCACCACACACACACACACACACACACACACACACACACACATTATGTCTTTTTCTCTGCCACCACCACCATCAGTGATCACTAGCTCTAGAAAACAACTTTCTCAAAGATTCTGGGAAGGTTAATTGGAGCAGCAATGAGGGTAAGTGTATGTTTGTGTGGGAGAACGAGGGTAAAAGTAGTGCTGAAAAAGAGATCTGAAATCTCCGATCAGATTTTGGCTCCAGAGAAACAGCCATTGAAAACTGAAAGGCAAAGCTAGAGTCTTTCAGTGTCACTTCACATTGCCTTTTTTTTCCCCTCTGAAAATCCCAAGAATGATACAAGATGATGGGTGTTAAGTCTTCTGGGGGGAAATGTAAGTAATGGCAGTTTTCTGAATGGTTACCTTTCTGGAGGCATGAGAACTAGAGCCATGAAAATAATGGCATTTTTACTCATGCTACACTAGCTTCAATAGCTGTAACGGAGAACAGATGGGTCTCTAACTTAAAACTACAGCCAGAAAAAAAAAAAAACCCTGAGATTACCATAATTATATTTCATGTTTGAGATACTACCATATCTTTCCTTGTTCTTGCCTCTTCAAGGCTGAATTTATACAGTTCTTCCAAGTATTTTTCATTTATTCCAATGACTTTTCTGACTGTCCTTTGGTGACATTGTTCTGTTTTTTCTCAACTTTTCTTAAGCATGGTTCCCAGAACACTATTAAAATCTTAAGAAGAGCTTAGTAGAATACAGGAAATAATAGTCCTGTGATTCAGAAACCTGATTGATACAACCCATGTTTGCCTTTTATACGCCAATGTTATACTATAATTATAACTAAAATTTCATCATCTTTTTCACAAAGCCAGTGATTCCCATTCCATGTTGACTTCTGATAATCACTGCATTGTTTCCAAAGGGTTTATATCACTGCATGATATTCTGCTCTATAATTTTCCCATGTAGATGCCATACTCTTATCTGTAATTTCCCATATTCTCCTTGGAGAACAAACAATGCTTGCCCTCTTTCAGTCATTTGGTTCTTCACCTGTTGTCCAGGGTTTTTGAAAGATAATGGACAACACTGTCAGTCAGTGTCTTCTATATGTTAGGATATAATTCATCCTCTGGACTCAAACTCATTCAAACTTAGCAAGTGTTCCTTGTTAGATGTGTATTAGCCTCAAACTACAGCCCTTCATTGTCTCTTTATAATCACCTAGTGGACTATAAGCTACCTTATTGGAAAAGACTACCTTATTGGAAAAGACTTATAGTGGACCTTATTGAGACCAAATTGGAACTAACTTCCTTTGTTAAATTACTCTGCTATGAACTTCTAATCATCATTGTTGTAAATTTATTAAAAATTGTTCTTCAAGTTCAAGATATTGCAATAGTAAGAAATAAGAGTTTGATGGAGATGAATGAAATCTTTCGAAAACCAGAAGGAAAAAAAACTAGCAAAAATTTGCAGAAGATGCTAATAGAGACACCTCCAGGCTGGATAAAAATTGATGATTTTTTTAAAAAAAAATCAGAAAACTGGATTTTTTTTTATTTTTATCAAATTTATTTTAATAAAATGCTTTTGGAGTAAAAATCTATCTAAAGATAGATTTCTGTTTAAGATACATTAATAATTTAGTTTATTCAGCATGAAATGGAGCTTAGTTATGTAGCATGAGGCTGTATATTCTGCAATATTTACATTTTTGGTAAACTCATTCAATGAATCCAAGCTCTGCAAGCTGAGACAACATGCACTGCATTGATGCATTCACACAATTTCACAGTAACCATGAGATAAATCATAAAACAAAGTTCAGGAATATTCCTTTATCCCATTGTTTTGCAAATCTGTCAAGCTTCCAAGTAACACGTTCCATTAAATAAAATGTCATCTTCAGGGTAGACAAATCTATGTACGCTACAAACTGTATGATAGTTTGAAGAGAAATGCATCTGTACCACAAGGCTCTAAATGGGAGGATGAAGGGCAAGCAGTAAAAATGAAAGTGAAATCTTCTAAGCAGCTTATAAATATAATATTAAAGACCACCTGTCATTTCAGATCCATCATGGCAGCGCCTGTTAGCGGGCATCCACTCACCTGCTGCCTGCCACGTCCCTCACCTTGTTGTGTCACTGCCGCATCACTAGCCATCCCTTTAAAGTGAATGGGACTGGCAGTGAGTCAACAGCGGGTCAGAGGAGGAGCCGCTGCGGGACAGAGATGACAGTTGCTCTTTAAAAATTATGATTTAAATCAAGTTGATTTATATCAAGCCTTTTTACTAGTGATTTAAATCATGATTTAAATAAATTTGATTTGAAACAAATCCACCCCGGACACCTCTCTAATTTAAATGAGCATAAAAAGCAAATGAGATATAGGACAATGAGATTTGAAAGATTGTTCTCAGCACGACCACACAGAACAGACCAGGACTCAACTGCATGTAGCCACTTGATAAAAGTAGTATTAACCTCATGTGAATTAGGAAGCTGTCTGTGTTTAGAATTACTTTTATTCACCATCTCTGTCCTGCCACCTTTTCATTAGCTAACCAAATATTTTTTTTTCTATTGCTTAAATTCTGAGCCACATACAGTACATGCTCTTGTGACATTTATCTTTGTTTCTGAAATCCATTTCTGATCGTCTACAGTAGCTAATCTAGCTGGTCTCCCAACATAGAGAGACCTAAGTGAGAATCTTTTTTCTGTAAATTCATTAATTGAAATTAATATTTTCTTTCTGTGACAGTCTTCCCAAGCCTCAGTATCCTCCACGTATCTAAAGTTTTATTCCCCAGAATTCTCAACAATGGCCAATCTAATGATTCCCCCCCCCCGTCTATATCTATCTATCTATCTTATCTATCTATCTATCTATCTATCTATCTATCTATCTATCTATCCATCTATCTATCTATTATCTACCTATCTATCTATCTATCTATCAGGAATGTGACTAACATTCAATCACCATTTGACCTTTTGCAATATGTCTGTTCCCATAAGACAGTACCTATTATCTATTTGAACTTTCAGGGTAATTTTGGAAAAAAATTAACTATTGAGGAACTCAGAAGAAGCATTACTGTTTAAAAGACATGTCTCACTTTAAAATATTACAAACTCTCTCCCCCTCTTTTTTGGGGAGGGCAAGCATCTTACTAATTAGTTGCAGCTATGGCCACAAGATTGTGGTTTCAATTTTCTTCCACTCCTCTTGCTAGACACAGCTATGACATCAAAACCATATCTGCTTCCCCATTAGCCTCTGTCAATCTCACTTAAAATGTAATCTGCTCCCCTCAGGTGAGAAATAAAATTTGAAGTAAGTATTCGTATAGCCGTGCTAAGAGAAAAAAAAATCTTATCAGCCAGGAAGCCTTTCTTAACACTTCTGCTAAAAAGAAGATACTGTACTAAATTTTCATGTTAAAGTGCAAAGATTCCTTTAGATAATTTATGTTTCCAAATATAACAGAAGTAAATTCAAAGAGTAAATTTATTTTATGTAAAGTGTAAATATTGATGGCAATATTAATTACTGCCTTTTAATCTCCCCAACTGGATGCAGACCAAGCATTTGTAAGCCATGGATCATCAACACTCGCATCTTGACTTGTCTCGCTGGGGGCCCTAGTTGCCTTTCTCCCAGCTTACCGTTTTAAGTAAATTATTTGGCAGCATGTATGAGGAAAAGATGCTACATTTAGGAAGCAGATAAATAGCAGAAGAGAACCTGAAGCAGCAGCTTCTGATCCTGAGCATATGGAGCAAGAAAGACATAAATATTTTTAGGCTTAAATATTGTAAATTCTATGACATGCCCATAACTATCTAGTTGTCCTCTTTAAAAACAAATAAAATGCAGGGGTTTATGGATTTCTAATCCAGTTGTGGTTTTTTCACCTTTAAACTACCATTTTTCAACATGTTTCAATTATTGCCTTCCTTCTTAAGTCATTTCAAAATCTTTCAATTTATTAAATTTGTTAGGGCCACCCAGTCATTAGATATTAGGTGACTTACAAAATCCCGTAGACAATTAAAACAGTTAAAACATGCATAAAGAGACCACAAAGATTAAAATTCTCAGAACAAATTGTAGAGATTGTAGTTTAAAAGAGCTGCAAGGCTATGTGATTTTATCTATTTCCAAGATCAGTTATTTTTCTATGGCCCAAACCTCCATGTAGTAGACATAAATTTATATTGGTAAAGCCTATACAATATCCTGTAGTTCTGTTGCACACCCATAGGTGATAGTAGTTGGTAATATGCAGAAGAAACAAAGAGCAGGAATGGCAGGGTGTGGGGTGGAATTCGGTCAGGAGC